TGTTTATCATTTCAATTTACTCTATTTATAGGCACTCTACAAAGCGGGTTTATGCGGGTTTATGAGGCTTTATAAGGGTTTATGAGAATTCATAAGGGTTTATAAGGGTTTATGAGGGTTTATAAGGGTTTATGAAGGTTTATTAGGGTTTGTGAGGGTTCATTAGGGTTCTAGGGTTTGTGAGGGTTTATAGGGGTTTGAGGCCAATATATAATGAGGGTTTATACGGGTTGATGCTGGTTTATTAGGGTTTGTGAGGGTTTATGCAGGTTTGAGGGTTTAGGGTTTAGGGTTTGCTACCTAGTTGAATTTGTTTGCCGAGGCACTCCGCCAGCGCCTTCGCCTGCAGAAACCCTAAACCCTCCACTGCAAACCCTCGACAGTAATCGCGCCCTGAACGCAAACCCTAAATCCTAAACCCTAAACCCTAAACTCTAAACCCTAATCAACCCTTAGAAGCCCTCATAAACCCTAGTAAACCCTCATAGACACTTACAAACACTATAAAACCCTCATAAACCCTAAAATCACACTTATAAACCCTCATAAACCCTAATACACCCTAATAAACCCTAATAAACCCTCATAAATCCTAATAAACCCTAATAAACCCTAACCCCCCCCGAAAAAACTTACAAACCCTCGTACACCCTCATAAACCCTAATGAACCCGAATAAACCCTCGTAAGAACTTAAAAACTCTCACAAGCACCTATAAACCCTCACAAACCCTCATAGACCCTCATAAACCCTCATAAACCCTAATGAACCCTAATAAACCCTCATAAACCCTCATAAACCCTCGTAAACCCTAATAAACCCTCATAAACCCTAATGAACCCTCATAAACCCTCGTAAACCCTCGTAAACCCTCATAAACCCTCATAAACCCTCATCAACCCTAATAAACCCTCGTAAACCCTCATAAACCCTCATGAACCCTCGTAAACCCTAATAAACCCTCATAAACCCTCATAAACCCTTGTAAACCCTCAAAACCCTAACCTGTCTCTGCGTCTCTCCACGAAACTCCCCACTGAGATGTAGGGCCCGACTCGCGAAAGGAGACACCCGGAATGCTGCTGAAGTGCTTAAGGGGGCCAACTGCTGCTCCTGCTGCTGCTGCTGCTGCAGCTGCTGCTGCTGCCTCTGCCACTGCTTCGTTGGCCCACTGCGGGCAATTGCTGCTGCTGCTGCTGCTGCTACTGTTGTTGTTGTTGCCCTGCTGCTCCTGCAGCATCGCAGCAGCAGCTGCTGCTAATGCTGCTGCTCTTTGTTCTAGCCATAGTGCTGTTGCTGAGGAGCAGCAAATGGGAGGGACTTCTGCTGTCTCGTTGCTGCTACCGTCATTCTGCTGCTGCTGCTGCTGCTCTGCTGCAGCAATTGCTGCTGGAATGCTGGTGTGCCCGGTGCTGCTGCTGCTGCTGCCCTGTTGCTGCTGGCGACGCATGCGTTTAGCTCCACGCCCCCTTTGGGCTCTTGCAGCGTTGCCGCGTTTTGCTGATGCTGCTGCTGCTGCTCCAAATCCGTTGCTGCTGCTGCTGCTGCTGCTGTTGCTGCTGCTGCGCCTGCAGCGTCGCACAGCAGCAGCGAGCTCTCCTACGGCATTCGCTGCTGCTTCTGCGTGTCTTGCTGCAACGTTAGCTGATGCTGCTGCTTCTCTTGCAGATGCTGCTGCAGCTTGTGTTTGCTGCAGCAGATTCAGAGACTCCTGCTGCAACAGCAGCCGCACATCCGTCCCAAGCAGCTGCGGCCCCAACGGCCCCACACCTGCTGCTGCTGCTGCTGCTGCTGCTGCTGCCGCTGCTGCTGCTGTGTCAACGCCAGGCTGCCCAGCAGCACCGCCAGCTGCTGCACCAAAAACAGCAGCCTCAAAGCCTGCTGCTGCGGCGACAGGATCTGCTACTGCAGCTGCAGCAGCAGCAAACGCTGCATCTGCTGTGGATGAGGCAGCTGCAAAACCCCCTTCTCCTCCTGTAAAATCAACAGCATGCATTGCTGCTGGTGCTGCTGTTGCAGCTTCGGTTGTTGCTGCTGCTGCTGCTCCCGCGTCTGTGTCTGCGGTCTTTGCTGCAGCAGCACTGCTGCTGCTCTCTGCTGCTGCTGCTGCCAACGTCTCTGCAGCAGCAACACCAGGCGTCGCTGGGTCGGTGTCTTCCTGTACACTGCTGCTGCTAGTGCTGCTTGCACTGCTGGTGCTGCTGCTGCTGCTGCTGCTGGTGGTGCTGCTGTTCTCAACAGCTGCTGGTGCAGCAGCAGCACCAGCTTCACCGTCGGATGTCGGCTGCGCTGGCAGATGCCCTTCAGCAGCAAGAGCATCAGCAGAAGCAGCTGCTGCTGCTTCAGGGGTGCTGGGAGGCCCCGCTCCGGCAGCAGCTTCCACCGTTATGATTCTCGTGCTGCTGCTGCCGCTGCTGCTGCTGCTGCTGCTGCTGTCTGCAGCAGCACAGGAGCAGCAGGACGTGGGCGTACAGCTGGCAGTTGTGGTTTGGTCTCCGTCTGGCGGTGCTGCTGCTGCTGCAGCAGAACGCGGAAGCCAGGGCGGAGACACCGCAGCAGCAAGTGCAGCAGCAGGTGCTGCTGCTGCTTCTGCTGCTGCTTCTGCTGTTGCTTCTTCGTCTGCCGTCTCCTTTCCTACCGAAACCAAATGCTGCGGCTGCTGCAGCAAGAGCTGCTGCTGCAGCAGCGTATCCACTTGGGACATCTCTTCAATACTGCTGCGGCTGCTTCTGTTGCTGCCGCTTTTGCTGTTGGCCCTGATGCTCTTGCTGCTGAGGCTGCTGCTCTGCTGCTGCTGCTGCTGCGTTTGCTGCTGTCGCAGGACCTGAAACGCTACTAAGGCTCAGCCTCTATGTCTGTTGCTGCTGGCGGCTGCGGCAACTTCTCCTGCCCAGCGCATCATATCTATGCAGCAGCAGCTGCCTTGCTGCCACTGCTGCTGCCGCCGCTGCTGCTGCTGCTGCTCAGAAGAGAAGGCTGCAAAGCATATTTGAGAAATGTCATTAATTGCCCTTTTAACGAAATGGCCCCCGAAGCAGGAAAGAAGCCTGAAGCCCAAGGCACGCCGTCCCCCAACTGCTGCTGCTGCTGCTGCTGCAGCTGCTGCTGCTGTTGCTGCTGCTGCTGCGGTGGCGGTGGCGGCTTTCGCGTCGGCCTGCTGCTGTTGCTGCTGCAGCGAGGCGAAGCTCGGAAGTTGTGGAGGAGAACGCCTGCACAGCAGCAAGAAGTAGGTTTGCTGCTGCTGCTGCTGCTGCTGCTGCTGCTGGAGGCGGTTAGGAGCTGGCGTTGCTGTTGCACTGCAGCACCTCCTTCTGCTCTCTTCTGTTGGCTATGAAGTGTAAAATAAACTTGTCTACCGAATTCTTTTATGCAAATGCAGGAAAGAGAATGAAAAGAAGCACTCAGCTGCTGCAGCAACTGAGGGTGTTGTGCTGCTGCTCCAGGGCAGACCGCGAGTCTGGGGCCCCCACTGTATATACAGCTTCACGGGCTGTGAAGGAGAGGGTTTTAAGCGTCTAAATGTTTATTTTTATCTTTTATTTTATCTAATTCTTTATTTATTTATCTGTAAGGACGACTCCTTCGTATTTTTATACAGCCATCTCCTGCTGCTGCAGACGCGCAGCGTGGGGCCAGCCAAAAGAGAGGAGAGAGAGGCTTGAGGTGTACATACACCGCAGACTGATGCATTTTCTTCTTTGTTTGAATAAATATACAAAATAAAAAATATTTTTAAAAGCGTTTGAGCTCTTTAATTATGCCTCCAGCAGGTTTATTACCCTGAGACTGCCAGCAACTGCAACTGAGTGCGGGTACAGAACGTAAGGTAAATATTATTAAAAATTAAATATATACAACTCTCTAAAAAGATACTCCAAGTGCCTCCACCCTCCGTCTCAAAGCTTCCAGTTAGTGGGCAAAACAGCACAAGGGGCTGCTTCTGCTGCTGCAACGAAGGCCCTCAACCTTATCAAAAGGCATGCATAAGCTGCAATAGAGACAACAAACTTAAAAAGAAGAGTTCCTATAAAGTAGATTTTGTATCCTGTTCATTTCCTAGGGGCTCTGGCCATAGAGGCCCAAGGGCCTGGGGCTGGGGCAGAAGAGACGCCCTTTCAGATGCAAGTACAGCCAACGCCTTTTTCGCTGTCTGCACTAAAATTATAGATTCATGCTGGATGTGTTGCATGCAGACTGCTTACTAAGGCCAAGTAAATGCTCATGGTTGGATAGAGTATGCTGCATCTTCTCTCTTGTCTCTCGAAGACAGCATATGTCTCTGTACGCGTTGTCCCCCCTAAATGGTGTTGCATTGCTTCCTTTATTTGCTTCTCTTCCTGTTGATCTGATGTCTCCTCCAGTTACAAACGGGTTTCGTTATGCTGTTGCCTTGCAACGTATAAGCCTTCATGATGCTATGCATGTTAGCAGATAAGCAAAACACTGTAGGGGAAGCCTTAGATTCTGATAGATAGAACAGTACTCTCTACTTTTGCATATAGCACCTTGTTGACTAACTTCTGGTTTAAACCCTACATTCATCTGCTTAAATGCATGTACCTCCTCCGTCTCATTGAACTTAAGACCCCAATTTATGAAGCAGCCTAAAGTGCTGCTGTATTGCACAATCGCCAATCGGTTCGGTGATGTCCATTACCTTGAACTCTTTCATCATCTGCTTCTTGAATGTTAGTTGCCTCTCAACTCTAATGTTGTACGCCCAAGTGATCTTCCCAACCATGAGAAGAAGACTTGTACAAGAGTTATTATATTCTTCCTCCATCACCTCGGGGTTGCGCATCCCAACAGGTTTCTGCTGCTCGTCCAGCTACTCCTGCTTGTGTGTCTCTTCTTGTCTTTTCTTTGCTTCTATCTGATATGCACCCTCTTCTCCTCTTTGCGGTTTTAATCTACCCACTACAACCGTACAGAGTGCTACTGCTCTGTCTCTTCGACAAGCAAGCTATCTCTTTAGCTATGAGGGTTGTCTTGCATAGGTATTCGGAGTATGTTACAAGGACCTTGATGATACTGATACTAGCAAAGAAAGCCTCCTCTACTTTTCTGATGCCCTTCATAAGAAGCAGTCTCCACGCCTAGACCCCATGCACTCACTTCAAAGCGGCATGCATGGTGTATATCTAAACTCTATTACACTGGTGCTCAAAGGGGAGCGTTATAGATCTATACGGTAGAGAGAACACCAATACTATATCAATAGAAACAAGCCAAGCCACACTAAACAGGAGATAACGCCCAAACACTATATCATTAGAAATAAATGATGCCGCATTAGAAAAGAGATAAGGCTATCAAGCTGAGAATGCTCTGCCTCTATCCATGTTCTGGGCAACTGGCACTGTAGGCTAGGCGATAGCCTGCAGAGTCTCAGCAAGAGGAATATTGTTATTAGTCTTCTTCCTTTAAGAAGATTGGATCCCGGAGAAGAATAAGGAGCTGTTCTTTGATATTTAAAGGTTACTTCAAGGGCTATGCACTGAACGTGGCATATATACATCGAATGCGCACTTATATAAGCAAACATATATATAGTAACGGCCGAGAAGTAATGGTAGCGCTGAGAAAACGCAGGTAGTACTGATGCATCATCTTTCTCAACTAATCTTTACCTACACTGAAGCAACGAAGCATCACAACATTCGATAGCTTTTGCTTCACCGTTGTTCTGTTGAAGGCTTGAAGACCACCTCACGTCTTTCTTCTTCGCCAGCACTTATCATATCCAAACGCTGTATCTGCCAGTTTAGCACTGCCTTTTCTTAGCATTGCATGCACCTGCCCCCTAAGTTCCTTTTCAAGATGTAGGGGTTGTCTCTATATTAGAACAAAGAAAAGCTTGCTGCTGCGGCCCCGCGAAGGAGTTCAACGAGGTATATTGAGCGTTCAGTGGGTAGTAGCCCTTTGGTAGCTCTTTGCTCTTTAGAGTACAGCTAAAAACTTTTGATTTAGCTCTGCTCGTTTCCCCTGTAGATGCTTAATGGGCGGGATACTCCAGAGCCGTCATCTTCATAAGTTAACTACGAAGGTGCGCATGCATGCATCTCTTTGACTTCTCCTGGGCTACCTTCGCAGCGCGCTGCGTAGACAACTCCTCGCTCCTCTCTCTTTGGGGCACTGTTTATACCCATCTGCACCCCTCTCTCTCTCTCTCTGCTGCTGTCTCATTGATAAGAGACAAAACTTCAGAAACAGTAATTGCCTCTTCCTGTCTCTCCCCGTCTCCCTTAGGCTACCCACTCTCTCGTTGAGACACTGCTTATACCCCTCCTTACGCCTCTCTCTTTGGGGCATTGTTTATACTCCTCTAACCGCAGGGGAGACAAACGCTCAGAGCTGCACTCTGTGAGTGCCCGTCCTTCCCAGTGCAGAGACCTCAATAGTGTCCTCTGGAGACAGCAAATACTTGTGTTTCTCTGTGCAGTGCAGAGACCTCAATAGTGTCGTCTGGAGACAGCAAATACTTGTATCTCTCTGTTTTCGTGTGTGCTGCATTTGATTCTGCTCTGTTTCTTTTGCCTCTCTTGTCTTCGGTTTGGTTTAATGGGTGATAAATGCAATCACAAATTGTCCTATTCTTTAATAATTTATTAGATAATATTATTACTTGATATGTGCATGAGATATATGCCTTTTGAAATTTAGTAAAGTCTTCATAATTACAAATACAGTAAGTAAATTTATCCCTTTAAGCTTTACATCTTTAGCAAATTAAAAATAAATTTTAGGCCTTTTCTTTAATTGTTCGCTTCTCTACTTTTACTTTTATTTTGCTTATTTGTGCATTCATTAGGCCCGCAGGGGAGAGAAGACAAAATAAACGCAGGGGCCTTCACTTCCTTCTCTTCCTACAAATACTGCATATAATATATATATATATATATATATATAATATTACTATAAATACGAAGTAAAGAGACAGACGCCGGGCTCAGATAAGAAGCCCTCCCTCCTGCCCGCGTGTCTGTACCAGCAATGTTAATTATATATAAAAGCTGCCGTCTCATTGATAAGAGACAAAACTTCAAAAAACAGTAATTGCCTCCCCCTGTCTCTCCCTGTCTCCCTTGGGCTACCCAGCAGCAAAAGAGGCAGATTCTGTCTCTCTTGAGTTGAGCTGTTTCTTACCGCTACTTTTCACTCGCATGCAAATAGTATAATACCCATTGAGAACAAACATACAATACATCCGAGTCAACGCTGCTGCGGCTGCTGCAGTTTCTGCTGCTGCCGCTGCTGCTGCAGTTTTTGCGGCTGCTGCTGCTAGAAGTCGCCAAGGAAAGACTGCAGCGTCTCCGCTTTGTCTTGTGCTGCTGCTGCTGCTGCTTCATTCCATAGAGCTTCCCCTTCTTTCTCCTGTGAATCCTCAACCCTACGCAGCAACAGCCGCGCCGAGCTCCGTGCTGCTGCTGCTTCTGCTGCTGCGGTTGCTGGCGTTGCATCTGGAAGGTCTGCTGCTGTTGCCGGCATTACGCCTGGAGTTGTTGCTGCTGCTGCTTCTGCTAATGTTGCTTCTGCAGTTGCCTCTTGTATTGATTGTGCTTCTGTTAGGTGCTCTAGAGTACGCTCCCCACAGAAGGCTTCTGCTGCAGCTGCTGCTGCCGCTGCTGTTGCTGCAGCGGGAGCCTCGGCCCGAGCAGCAGCAGCCGCTGCAGCAGCAGCAGGCGAAGTTGTACCTGCAGCGCCTGCTGCTGCTTTTCTTCCCCCAATCTGCAGCAGCTCGTGAAGGTCTTCCAAAGACAACCGCTGCACGAACACCACGCACACTACCGCAACAACCCTGGGCTTCTGCTGCTGCTGCTGTTGCTGCTGCTGCTCGTGCTGCAGTGGGTGTGCTGCTGCATTACTCCGCCCCTGCAGCCTTCAGCAAATAGGGGTTTGGGCTTGAATTAGGGTTTTAGGGTTTACAAGAAGGGTCGAGGGTTTGCACAAAGACTTTAGGGTTTACATCAAGAGTATAGGATCTGAGTGAAGGGTTTACACTTGAGGTTGCGAGTTCAGAGGTTATAAGGTAGAATTGGGGTTTAAGGAAGGAAGGGTTTAGGGTTTAGAAGGAATAAGGTTTAAATGAGAAATGTAGCGCTTAGTGTTCAGGGTTTGGAAGGCTTCGGAGTACTGCAAAGAGATGCCTGTGAAGCCCTAGGGTTTAGGGTTTAGGGTTTAGGGTACCTCGCAAAGAAGGGCTTCGCTGGGTGTTTTGGAGGCGATGCGGGTTTTGTGCAGCTGAGCGATTCGTTGCTCCACGCTGTCCTTCACAATGAACCTGAAAACCACAAACCCTAAACCCTAAACCCTAAACTCTAAACCCTCATTGCCTTCAGTTCACAATGCCGCTGCTAGGAGACAGCAGGATTGCTGGGGTTGTGCGGGTTTGAGGCTAAGGGTTCAAAGGAAGTGTCTCCGGATTGAGGGAAGAGATTAGGGTTTAGAGGAAGGGTTTAGGGTTTATCATGAATCCATAGGGTTTGAGCCTTTCAAGCAAGGGTTTAAGGGGTTGGCGAGTACTGCTGGGGTATAAACACTATACTAGGGTTTAGGGTTTAGGGTTTAGGGTTTTGTACCTCCAGACGTGGGTTTGTTTGGTTTGAGAGAATCTATAAACCCTTCCTATTGCTTGTTTTTCTTCTGCTTTGTTTAGAGGGTATTCAACGAAGAGCACGTGGTTTGCTGCTGTGAGGTTGAGCCCGCGGCCCCCCTTCCTGAGGGTGCACAGCAGCACTTGAGGGCTGCTGCTGCTGCTGCTGCAGAACGCCTGAATTGCTGCTGTCTCATGCTGCGACCCATAATAACATAAACTGTTTATGCGAAGCGCATGCAAAGATGTTCGTAGCAGCAGCAGCACTTCACGCCACTCTGAATACACCAACACCTTTTCTCCCTTTCCGTGCTGCTGCTGCTGCTGCTGCTGCTGCTCTGGCTGCTGCTCCCCTGGCTGCTGGTGGTCCTGTTGCTGCTCTTGCCCTTCTTCTTGCTGCTGCTGTCGCTCGTCTTGTTCGTCCGTCCCTTGTTGTCTCCGCTGCTGCTGCTCTGCAGCAGAAGCAGCAGCAGCAGGGAGATGCCTTTTCTTTGCTGGGGCTGCTGCAGCAGTTTCTTCTGCTGCTGCCGCTGGCCGTTTGTCTCGGAGTGTCTCTGTTGTCTCTCTGCTGTTCACCCCTCTAACAATTTCAACTATTTTATTTATCACAGCCTCAAACTTTGCTGAGTGTAGGCCGGAAGGGCTGGACCCCTTCACCTGCTGCAGCAGCCACACCAACAACAGCAGCAAAGAAAGCAGCAACAGCAACTGCAGCAGCACCATATATGTATATATGCATACAAATGCATCAATGAACATATATATATATATATAAATATTTTATATACAGTCTGTTTCCTTATGCTTGCATATACATATATTAGTGCGCATAATGCATGCATAGACATGCATTAATGCGCATATTCTGCAGGCCATCCATATATATATATATATATATACATCAATGCAAATCCGTCTTTCTCTGTCTCTGTTTATATATATTATATATATATTCATATGTATATTATGAACAATATACGCTATATATGATACATACAAAATATATAATACATTATATAATATGCAAGTCCTGGGCATATTAGATATATAATAAATATATTATGAATATATATTTGTAAAAGGTGAGATTAGCATGTTCATACTACCTATATAAATATGTATATATGTAAACATATTGCAACAAACAATATATATAAATGCATGCATATATATAATCAATATTATACTATATATATGTATATATACCATATAGAAAACATCAACATTATTATAATAGGCAATATATAAACAGCTCCTTAATAAGTATTTGCTTTACGTATAAAAGCAAGAGAGAGTATATGCAGCTTACAACGAAAACAAACATCAAGAAGAAATATATTTATTGCATTCAATCACATTTAATGCATGCGTAGCAAGTACATAATAAACAAGAAGACGAAGAATAAATGAACAAATAAATATATAATATATAATAAATAAATAAATAATAAATAAGTAACGACATAATATATATAAATATATATGTATAGAGGAGGACTTTGCATATAGAAGGGGTAATAAAGCAAAGATGCACAAAACCCTCACATCGATACTCCTGAACTCGCGATCGGGCGAAGGAGTGTGCGAGTCGTCAGAGGGCCCTTGCTGCTGCTGCTGCTGTTGCTGCTGCTGCTGCTGCTGCTGCTGTGTGTCCATTGTTGGGGCTTCAGAGGAAGCAGCAGCAGCAGAGGTAACAAGAGCTGCACCCGAAGGGTTGAACCCGTGGCGGCAGATAGCACACCTGAGCAGAGGCCCCTTCTGCTGCTGCCGCTGCTGCTGCTGCTGTTGCTGCTGCTTCTGCTGCTTCTGCTGCTTCTGTTGCAACTTCTGCAAACACACGAAGCAAATCGAATGCCCACAAGGCAGCACCACCACACAGTCGCCTGCATGCAGCCCCTGCAGACAAATAGGACACCGCTGAGGCTCCTCTTCCTCTTGCTGCTGCTGCTGCTGATGATGCGTGTGCAGCTGCTGCGGCTGCTGTGGCTGCTCTTGTTGCTGTTGTTGTTGTTGCTGCTGCTGCTTTTGCTGTTCAGCTTCCGCCTTGACAACAGATTGCTGTCCCAGCAACTGCTGCTCTTGCCCTTGCCTTTCGTTCTGCTGCTCCTCACACTCTTGGTGCTGCTGCTGCTGCTTCTGCTGCCTGCACACCGCAGCAGCAGCAGCTCTTGATGCCCTCTCAATTGCTTCAGGGGTTCTTCCGTCAACCCCTCCCTCTTCGGCTGCTGCTGCTTTCAAGGGGTCCTCCTTTGTAGCAGCATTTGCAGCAGCAGCATTTGCAGCAGCAGCACTCCCCGCTGCTGCAGACGGCTCCGCAGACACCTCCCCAGCAGGAGCAGCAGCAGCAGCAGCAGGAGTTTGCTGCTTCATTTTGCTGGTTTGTTTGTCTTTTAGTCCCTTGAGGTATTGATGGCGAGTAAAACAAACAACAATGCGGTCTCTAGAAAACTGCAAAGCAGACAGCAACTCAGAGGAGACAACAGACACCTCCAAGGGGCCCAACCCGCATCGCTGCTGCAGCAGCTCCTGCCGCAAAGACGCCTCTGCTGACCATGCTGCTGCTGCTGCTGCTCTCGCTGCTGCTGCTGCTAGTGCAGGTTCTGGCTGCACCGGCGCTGCAGCAGCAGCTGCTGCTGCGGCTGTGGCCGCAGCGGGTGTGCCCGGCTGCGGTGCCTCTGCTGCTGTTGCTGCCTCCACTTCTTCTGGCACTGCTGCTGCTGCTGCCGTACCAGCTGCTGCAGATGAACCAGCAGCTGGAGCAGCAGCAGCAGGAGCAGCAGGGAAGCAGGATGTGTTGTTTGTTGTCTTTAAGAAGAATCGAGCGACAGACATGCGGAGTTCATCAAAAGCAGACAAAACCCCTCGGCTTCCTAACAGATAAGCCCCAGCAGCAGACAACTCCTGCAGCAGCAGCAGCACAATCCCTTAACTCTAAACCCTAAGCCCTATAACCTGGAGACCTAACACTGAAGCAACCTCAGACCCTCAGAACCAAGCCCAAAACCCTACACCCTAAACCCTATTGAACCGCAACCGTAAGCCCTCGGCCGTGAAAAACCCTAAACCACAAGCCCGAAGGCGTAAACCCTAAACCCTGTGAAGGTCTAAGCGCATAGGGTTTAGGGTTTAGGGTTTAGGGTTTCGGTGATTTGTTGCGGACTCTCTTTAGGCTTTCAAGCTCCTTAAGATGAACTTCTGCTGCTGCTGCCAGGGGCCCCCAAAGAACGCCGGCCCCGCTGCTGTCTCTTCGAGTGAAGCTGCAGAGCAGCTGGAGACACCGCAGCAATTCGCTGTCTCCAAAGTGGTGGTAGCCCTCCTGTACACAGACCCTAAACCCTAAACCACAAACCCTAAACCCTAAACCCTAAACCATAAACCGCAGAGCTCAAACACTATACCGGAAGAAACCCAACACAAAGGCGCACAGCAGACGTCCTGGGAAGCCCCTGTATCTTCAACACCCTAAACCCTAGCCTTCAAACGCTTTTACCCTAAACCATAAACCCTAAACCCTAAACCCTAGACCTTTAATGACCTACAATGCTAAGACTGGTAGGGTCAGCAGTGACAGCGTCGAGGTTTTTCGAAACGCGGTTGTAGAGACAGGACTGCAAACTGAAGCAACAAACCCTAAGCCCTAGACCCTAAACCCTAAACCACAAACCCTAGCATAGCATTCACGTCCCTCTGCAGCATCGGCCTGGCTTGTGCTGGAGCTTACGAAAGGACATAGGGTTTAGGGTTTAGGGCTTAGGGTTTTGCTTTGGGGTTTACTCGGTGATTTGCTGGGCCGCTATGCAGTGGAAACAAAGACTGCCCGTCAATCGCTCCTCCGCTCGCCCCTTCTTTCTACGTTTGCGCGGCGAAGAGGCGCTTCCCAGTTGCTGCTGCTGCTGCTGCTGCGGCAGGTATAGGCTGCTGAGCTGGTTGCGACTCCTGCCCCGCTGCTGCTGCTGCTGCTGCTGCTGCAGCTGCAGCAGGTCTGCCTGAAACAACTCGTTGCAGCGGGGACACGACCCAAATGCTGCTTGCAGCTCCGGGGAAGGGTTTCCTCCGTGATCCAGCGACTCCAACGTCTACACACAAACCCTAAACCCTAAACCCTAAACCCTAAACCCTAAGAGCTTAAACGCCTAGCCCTACACCCTCACGAAGCGCAGATTCTTTGACTCCCCCGATGTTCTGCCGCGTGCTGGGGGTGCATCAGGGTTTGCGCCTCGGGGCTGCACGTCTAGGGTTTAGGGTTTAGGGTTTTGTTACGCGTATGAGGTCTTCTCTTTTGCAATCGAGCTCATCTAAAGCCACCTCAAGCGCAGCCACAAGACCCCGACAACTGGAGACGCCCCCTAAATGAAACTTCTTTCCTGAACCTGCAGCAGCAAGCGGCCAGCCCCAGCGCTCCTCCCTGCTGCTGCTGCTGCTGCTGCTGCGCATGTTGAACAGCTCCTCACGCACTCTGCACGCATCCAAACCCTAAACCCTAAACCACAAACTCTAAGACCAACGCCTAATTGTCTAGACTGTACAGATAATTGCAAAAACAAAGAGCCTTCCCCGCAGCACTAAGCCGTGCCAAGGCGTGCTTGAGGTTTAGAGAAGGGAATGAGGGTTTAGGGTTTAGGGTTTGCGCCTAGGGGGTCATTCGTGTGAATCTACAGTTTAGGGTTTATGCTCAAGGTTTAGTGTTCCTGTTTCTGTTTAGGACGCAGGGTTTGTGGGTTGGGTTAAGGTTTATTGCTTAGGGGGTTTAGGGTTTAGGGTTTGGGTGTAAGAGAGTGTAAGGGGCGGAGTTTAGCGTATAGGGTGTATTGTCTAGTGCTTATGCTTGTTGTTATTTGTTTGCGCTTAAGATGAAGGGTTTGTGTGTTGCACTCGCTTTTGGGGTTTAGGGTTTAGGGTTTAGGGTTTGGGGGACCTGGATGCTAGGGCTCTACTGCGTTCTTCTTCGAGGCCCGCGAGAGCTACAAACCACCGCCCCCCTCCCATTTTCTTTCTCCATTCTTCAGCTTGCAGCAGCTGCTGCAGCGCCGTACGGGGCCCCTCTTCAACGTCGCACTGAACAGTGTTTAAATGAGGGTTATGCCCTTGCGGAGGGGGACCCTCTCCTTCCACGGTGCCCCCCTCCCCTTCCAGGGGGCCCCCATCCTCTTTCATGGGGGCCCCGTCTCCTTTTAGAGGGCCCCTATTCCCTTTCAGGGGGCCCTCCTCTCCTCCCTGGGGGCTCCTCTGATCTGCTGCTGCACCCTGGGTGCGTTTGGTGCTGCAGGAGGCCCCTTGGGTCCTGCTTGGGGGCCCCTTTTTCCCCGCACAAACTAAAACCCTCTCACTTCTGAATTTCTCTGTCTCTGCAAAACGAAAGCGAAAGGCCTCGCGCGCTCTCACCAACTCCCCTACAGCCTTAGAGGCGTACTCGCTGCGCAAACGCTGAAACAAATCCCATGCTGCTGCTGCTGCTGCTGTTGCTGCTGTTGCTGCTGCTGAGGTAGATTCCGCCTCTGCTGCAGAGGAAGAGGCTGCTGCCGCATCAATCTTTGCTTCCGCTTGTGCTGCTGCTGTTGCTGCTCCTGATACTCCTGGGGCAGATCCCACCTCTACCAGGGAAGAAGATGCTGCTTCCGAACTGTCTTTTGCTTCTGCTGCTGCTGTGGCTGCTGCTGCTGCCACTGGTGTCGTTGCTGGCGGCTCTGTTGACGCCGCAGCCGCAGCGTCACTGAGATCCAAAATCACATCCGCTTCCTGTCTGCCGTCTATTCTGCTGCCGCTGCTGCTGCTGATGCTGCTGGGGGGCCTCACGGGCCCCCCGGACAGGGTCTGGTACAGGTTGAAGGCCGCATGAATTTGCTGCAGTTTGTCGATGTGGGGCCCCGCTGCTTTCAGAGGGTGCAGAAGACTGGGGCCCATAATAAGGGGCCCCACAGTCTCCTGGGGGCCCCCTAAATATTGCAGAAGGGCCCCCCTTAACTCGGGGCCCCCCACCGAGCGCCTCGACAGCTCCAGCACGTGCCTGAAACCCGCAAACCCAATACCCTTAACCAACGTAAACCCTAACCGTAACTCTGAACCCTAAACCCTAAACCCTCATCTTAACTCTAGACCCTAAACCCTAAACCCTAGGAATGTTTCGCAAAGCGCTTGAGAGTAAAGCACCCGTGTTACTAAAGGAGCCCCCGAGCAGCAAAAGCTTTCAAGTCCACAAGCTCTCAACCCCACAAACCCTAAACCCTAAACCCTAAACCTTGTTTGGCTTACAGGTAAAGAAGAGCAGCGCGAGCAGGTCTCCCCTGCAGCAGCGAGAGACCAGCGACGCCGTTTACCTCAGCGCAGTACGCTCGCAATGCCTCTTCCAGCTCGACCTACACTCAAACCCTAAACCCTAAACCCTCAACCCTAAACCCCAAACCCTGAACCCTAAATCCCAAACGCTACGGCGTATAATTCCTCGTTGGATTGCAGTAAATGGGGAAGACCCTAAAGAGCACTAGCAGCTTAAAGAATTAGGGTTTTAGGGTATGGGTTTTAGGGTTTAGGGTTTGAGAGCCTGGGGTTTAGGATTTACTCGGGCATCTCCAAGGAGGCGACAGAGGACCTCATCCATTGACATATAGCGCCCCACTCCCTCTAAACCATCTGTCTTGCGGGTGCCGGCGCTGCTGCTGCTGCTGCTGCTGCTGCTGTTGCTGCGGCGGCTGCTGAGGCCCAAAGCCCCCAGCTGCGGATGGTTTGCTGCCTGCCGCAGCACCAGCAGCATTGCCGCCATTTGAGAAGACAGCGCAGCAGCAACGCGGGCCTTACTATCTGCGGCAGCAGCAGCAGCAGCTGCTGCTGCTGCTGTCTTGCTGCAACCGACAACCCCGCCACGACGCCCTCTCTCCGCCTGCTCCTGCTGTTGCTGCTGCTGCTGCTGCCTGCTGCAAAGCCGCAGCACACGCTGCGCCACAGCGCGCTGCTGCCGCTGATAAAAGAAGCGCTCGACGGGCCCCAACTCTACCCAAATATCATGCACAATAGGAGGAGGTACCCCGAGCTCCTCAGACACCTCTGCACACAAACCATAAACCCTAAACCCTAAACCCTAAACCCTAGAAGCTTCAGATCCACAAAGACACACTCTAATCTGAACTTGTCACCCCCTAACACGCGGAACCCTAAATACCAAACCCTTACCCCTAAACACTAAACCCTAAACTCCAAACCCGAAACTCCAAACCCCGAACTCTAGACCATACACCCTAGACCCTGGGCTGTAAACCCTAAACACCAAACCCTAAACCCTCACCGCTCATTTCTGTCCTCCACATCAAAGGTGTCAACACATCGACAGCAGCGTTTAAGGCAAAGCCCGTGATGCCCCATCGGGGGCCCACACGCGCCTCTATAATGCTGCTACTGCTGCTGCTGCTGCTGCTGCTGCTGTGGTCATCCTCTAGGGCGCTCTGCGGCAGCGGCAACGAGAGGCCCTGGAAAGCCCGCCTGAGACACACCACAGCAAAACACCCCTCAACCTAAAACCCTTGATTGCAAAGCCTAAACCCTAAACCCTAGTGCTTGTCCTAGTTACTACACCAGCTACTTCAAGGCTTCAGAGGGGCTGCTACGGCGGGTGAAGGAGCGCACCCCAGCACTTCGCTAAACCCTGAGCTCTAAACCATAAACCCTAAACCCAAAGTCGTAGGCTCTAAACCCTAAACCCTAAACCCTAAACACTTAACCCTGCCTCACTGAAGGAGGGCAGGCGACGAGTGATAGATGCAATCTGTTGAGAGGCGCAGCGCTGCAAGGAGTCCCGCTAATTCACGTGGTAATAGAGAACCCCGTGGGGCCTGGGGGGCCCCCCTTTGGGGCCCCGGGGGCCCCGGGGGCCCCTCTCCAGCCAACTCGTCTAACAGCGGAGTACCCGAGACGCACCACCGGTGTACAGCCTCAATGGAGTGGCACAATCGTGCCGCTCCGCTGAAACCTGCAGCAGCAACAGCAGCAGCAGCAGCACAAACAGCAGCTGCAGCACTAGCGGACAAGCAGCAGCACAAACGCCAGCCGGAGCAGCAGTACCAGCAGCAGCGCGAAGGGCTGGGGAGGTGCAGAAGCAACGGAAACAGGAGCCACAGATCATGCAGCAGCAGATACGATTCACCAGCAGCAGCAGAGGTAATAGAGCAGCAGCAACGCCTGAGGTGCCCCTTCAGCCGCAGCGGGTGAAAACGCAACCCAAAACCCAAAACCCTAAATCCTAAACCCTCACCCCCTGCCAGCTGTGCCTCATCAATAACAAGCCGCCACCAGCGAATTCCTAAGATGGGGGAGAAGAGTTTGCGGTAGCGCTTCGTGCCACGCAAGGCCATCCTGCTGCTGCAGTTGCTGCTGTTGCTGCTGCTGCTGTTGCTGCTGGTGAGGCTGAGAGGCGGGGCGAACCAAACCTCCTGCTGCAGCGCCTCAAAGGGCACTATTACAATGTCATAGTCTAGCAGCTGCTGCAGCAGCACGTGGGGGCCCTCGGGGGGGCCCCCTAGAGCGGCCACCACAGCAGCGGGGGGCACTGACAGGCTACGTGGCCCCTGTAAGGAAGCCCCCTCACCTGCTCCTGCTGCTGCTGCTGCTGGAGGCCCCCGGCCGGCACGCCGGGAAGACGAAGTGGGGCCCCTTGACGCGCTAAATGTTTTCTCTTCAGCACGAGCAAGTCCTGCCACCTGAAAGCCACAAACCCCAAACCCTAAACCCTAAATTCTAGACCCTAAACCCTGATGCTTCAACCACCCCAAACCTTAACCTCCTTCATGCTGCATTAGTAGAGCCAATAGTGGAGGCAGTGGCGCCGCCAGCTGTTAGTGGTTACTGTCTAGGGTTTAGGGTTAGTGTATGTGGTTAGGGTTTAGAGTTTAGGGTTTGTCACAGTGTTAGCGAGGGCGGTCCTGGCTGCCTTGAGGCCGGGGTATACTGCAACTTTGAGGGGAGGCCCCGAGTGTACAGACACCTCGCGTCTCCACTGGCCTACGATTGCTGCGGGGCACACAAGCAGGGTTCCCCGAGCCTGCGGCAACTCGCTGCTGCTCCTGCTGCTGCTGCTGCTGGTCGTGACGATGCTGCTACTGGCGGCGGTGGTGGTGCTGCTGCTGCTGCCGCTCCTGCTGCCGGTCCTGCTGCTGCTGCTGCAGGCAGCAGCCTCTTGCTGCTCTGCGCAGCAAAAAGGGCAGGTGAAAGGCACCGCAACAGCAGCACCTAAAAACTCAGCAACACAGAAGACGTGGGAGAAGGCTAAGCAGCAGCAGCACTGGATGACTGCCAGCAGCGAACACTCTTGTTGTTGTTGTTGCTGCTGCTGCCGTTGCTGCCGTTGGTGCTGCTCCTGATTCTGCTTGCGGAGGCCTCGAGCAGCAGGCCGCGGGGCCCACCGGCGGCTCCCCTTGAGGCAAAGGGGCCCCAAGGTGTCAGCAGCGCAGATGCAGCAAATAAGAGAGTCAGGGGGCATCGAATCTCCCCAACAATAAATCGCTCCCGTTGCCGCTGCTGTTGTTGCTCCTGTTGCTGTTGTTGCTGCTGTTGCTGCTGTTGCTGTTGCTGCTATTGTTGCTGCTGCTTCTCCTGTTGCTGCTGTGGCTGCAGCAGCAGCACTGTGGGGTTTCGGGTTCGCCAGCATGAGGGCTATCACCTCTACGCTCTTCCCCAGGCCCATCGAATCGCACAGCAAACCACCAGGCACCTCAAACCCCACACACGCCTCTTCATCTGCTGCTGCTGCTGCTGTTGTTGTTGTTGCTGGTGCTGCTGTTGCTGCGGCAGTTGGTGCTGTTGCTGCGAGTGCTGACTCGAATGGTGCACCCACTGACGTTGCTGATGCGGCCGGTGCAGGAACAGCAGTTGCTGCTATCGTTGCAGCTGCTGTTGCTGGAGTGGCATGTGCTGCTGCTGCTGCTGCTGCTACTGCTGTTTGCGAACAAACAGCGACCTGGCCAGTAGTCTGATTGACCCACACAGCAGCAGCAGAAGGCAGCAGCACCTTGTGCCACATCAGATTAACCTGCTGCTTCATGTGCTGCTGCCGCTGCTGCAGCGCGGTCAGCTGCTGCTGCTGCTGCGGCCCTAGGTCTTCAACGCCACACTCCCCTCTGGTATTTCTGCTGCAGCTGCCGCTGCTGCTGCTGCTGCTGTTAAGAAGGGCTCGCCACTCTCTGTAAAGGGCAAAGAGAACAGCTCGCTGCTGATATGGCCGCAGTCGGCATCGCAGCCCAGGCGGGGGCAGCAGCTCCACTTCACCAAACGCAGTGCTTCGCTTGCTGCTGCTGCTGCTGCTGCTTCGGGCGTGCTGCTGCTGCTGCTGCACATGCAGGAAGCGCCTCTGAGATACCAGGTTGTATATAAAGGAAGGGCTCACGAAGAAGCGCCGAGGAGTTGCTGTTCCCTCTTCTGCTGCTTCTGCTGCTGCTGCTGCAGTTTCTGCCGCTGGCAGCAGCGAAGTCTGGCCTAACATCCGCCCGAATAGCCTGCAGCAGAAGCAGCAACAGCAGCAACAGTAGCAGCAACAAATCATTTGGAGCAGCACCAGCAGCGGGCCGCAGCAGCAGCAGCAACAGCAGCCTCACGTACACCAGCCACATCTGCAGCACCATCAGAAACAGCACCTGCAGCAATACTAGTAGCAACGCAAACAGCAGCAGAAGCATCTGTGGCACGTGTAGCAGCAGCAGTATTCGTTGCAGCAACACCGACAGCAGCAGCAGCAGCAGCAACAGCAGCAACAGCAGCAGCAGCAAGCAGCAGACCACTGTGCAGCTTTTGCTCTGCATTCTGAGAAGACTGGGGGCGCATCGCGAGGGGAGCCGCAGCAGCCCGTCATTAGGCAAAGAGAAACTTCAACCAGCCACATCCACTTCCTGCTGCTGCTGCTGCTGCTGCTGATGGGTATAAGCCCTTCAACAAGATCTTCAGCAGCTGCTGAATTCCTCTTCCGTCGCACTGAGGGCCTTCGCTTGCTGCTCGTTGCAGCAGCAGCAGCTGTTGCTGCTGCTGTATCCTCTGTATCCTCTGCAGACTCAACCGCTTCAACAGGATCAGCAGCACCAGCAGCAGCAGCAGCAGGAGGTGCAGCGCGAAGCACAACAGCGCGCAGGCACAGTGGCAGCAGCTGCCTCTTAGCTGTCAATACCTGCAGCAAATCTTCACCCAAACTCCGCGCTGCCGCATCTGCCCGCAGAATACCCTCTGCAGCAACTCGCGGAGCAGCAGCAACTGCTCGAGCAGCAGCACCTGCAGCAGCGTTAGCGGCAAGACGTGTAGCAGCACGAGGAGCAACAGCAGCCACTGCTGCTGCTTCTTGCGAAGCAGCACTTCTAAGGCCTGTACGCGTTCGCGTTGGGCTACCGCTCTCGTTTGCTGCTTCTGAGGCTGCTGCGTTTGCTGCTGCTGCTGCCGTTGCTGCTGCTGCTGTTGCTGCATCAGCCGAGCCTACAGGCGGTTCAGCAGCAACAAGAGACAACCGGAGAGTGCTGGAGCTTCGGGCCTCCAATAGGGCTCCGAAGTAATGGGGGCAGCTGCAACTGTGCTGCTCAGCATCTGCTGCTGCTGCTGCTGCTTCACCTTCTTCCTCTGCAACAACTCCTGTGGAAACGTCATCTGCTGCTGCAAGCCCCTGCACATCTGCTGCTGGTGTTGCCACTGCTGCTGCTGCTGGTGTTGCTGCTGTTACAGCCGGTTCCGTCCCCGCTCCTGGTGTTGCGGGTACTGCGGCTTCGTGTGCGTCATCTGCAGCAGCTAAAGCAGCAGCTGCTGCTGCTGTTGCTACTGCTACATCTTCTTGCTGCTGCAAATATGGGCGCCTCAGGCGGCGGCGGGGTGTGGCGCTGCAGCACGAACAAGCAGCAGCAGGAGCCCTATCAGCAACAACATGAAAGGGCCTCCAGGTGTACAGACACTCCAGCCCTGTCGCAGCAGCGGAAGCTGCTGCTGCCCGTAGAAGCGCCTTCCTCTTTGCGAGTTGTTGTTGCTGCTGCTGCTGTTGCTGCTGCTCCTTGGAGATCCTGCGGCTGCTGTCATCGCTGCTGGGGGCATCACCCGCCTCATCCAGCTGCTGCAGCAGCCTCTGAAGCACTGAACGCTGTTGCCTTGGCTGCTGCCGCCGCCTCTGCTTCTTTACCTGCTGCTGCTGCTGTCGAGTTGCATGCAGACGCTGCTGCTCATGCTGCTGCTCTTTCTGCTGCTGCTGTTCATGCTGCTGCTGCCCTTCCTCTTGCTGCTGTTCGTGCTGCTGCTCTTCCTGCTGCTGCTGCTGCCGAGCCTCCGACCCCAAAAGCTCAGCCGGGGTCTCCGCATGCTGGCCTGGCAATCGCTGCGCTGCTGCTGTTGCTGCTGCTGCTAGTGCTGGCGGTGTTGTTGTTGCTGCTGCTGGCGCTGCTGCTGTTGCTGCAGTGGCTTCCGCTGCAGATGCTTCTGCTGCTACTGATGTTCTTGTATTCCGTGCTGCTGCTGCTGCTGCTGCTGCTGCTGCTGCAGTTGGTGGGCTGTCCGTTGCTCCCTCCTGTGGGGCCCCCAACGACTCCTTTGCTGCGAGTTGGCTGCCAGGGGCCCCTGGGGGCCCCATCGGTCTCCTCAGCAGCTGCTACTGCTGCAGCAGCAGGTCACTGCAGCAGCACCGGCAGCAATGGGTCCACAGGGTAAGGGCAGCAGCAGCAGCAGCAGCAGCAGCTGCGCCGGGCCTCAACTGGGGTAGTCTCCCGCTAAGCTGCGGAAGGGCCTCACTTGGGCTGCTGCTGCAGGTTTGTTTGAGATTCTGTTTGCTGCTGTTGTTGATGCTGCTGCGATTTCGAATATGCTGCATCAGCAATGTTCTTGCTGCTGCTGCTCCTGCAGCAGCTGCTGCTGCTCGACTTGTCTCAACGGCAGGGCCCCAAGCAGCAGCAAACGAGCAGAGGATCCGTCAAGAGAAGACTAAAAAGAAGACAAACAGATTGTATAGAAGCTAAAAACAAGAATTTATTGCTGCTGCTGCTGCTGCTGCTATTGCTGCTGCCGTTCCACTGGATCTTCGAGTGGAGTCGGCGGCGGCTGCCACGGCAGCAGCAGCTGCTGCTGCTGCAGCAGCGGCAGCAGCGGCAGCAGCCGCTTGCGTTGCTTACAGCAAGAAGCCGTGTTGCTGCTCTTTGGGTTTTCTGCTGCTGCTTCTTTGTGCATGCGTTTCCTGTTCTATCGGCTCGTGGCGGCTGCTGCTGCTGCTTCTGCTGTTTCTGCTGCTGATCCCGCCGTTGCTCGTCTTGCTGCGGAGACACCTGAAGGGCCCCCGTTCCTTAGAATAGAGGGCTCGGTGTACAGACAGCAGCAGCGGCTCCCGTAGCAGCAACGGACGGCAGCAGCAGAGCCTGCCTGATCATACTAACAACTGCAGCAGCAGCACACCGTGCCCTGGCAGCTGCAGCAGCAGTTGCTGCTGCATTATAGGCTGCTGCCCGCGGCAGCAGCAGCTGCAGCAGGATGCAGGCAGCTGATGCAGCCTTCGGGGCTGCTGCTTCTGGTGTGTCTCCGCAATCAGAAGGAGCAGCAGCAGCAGCAGCAGCAGCTGCTGCAGCGGAGCCGCTGCCAGCTACCGTTTCTCTGCAGCAGCTGCAGCAATTGCTGCAGGATGTGTGGGGGGCGGAGAGGGAGGCTAAAGACAAAGTGCTGCTGCTGCTGCAGCAGGGGGAGGAGCGGCTGCGGGATATGCAGCTCTCGCTGCAGCAACAGCAGCATCAGTCGCAACAGGTGTGCCGGCAAGTGCAGCAGCTTCAGCAGCAGCTCTTAGGCACTGGCCTAACAAAGAAACCCTTGGCTTTGCGTCTCCAGCAGCGGGAGCAGCAGCAGCAGCTGCTGCTGCAGCAGCTGCGCTGTATCCAGGAGGTAGAAGCCTGCCTGCTGCGGCTCCAGGAGGTGCAGCAGCAGCTGGCGGCCTGTGGGGGTCTCGTAAAGCAGCAGCAACTTGCTGCTGCTGCTGCGGCGCTTAGACAGTGCGCCTTGAAGCAATTGATGCCTCTGCTGACAGCAACACGAGGAAGGCAGCAGCCCGCTGTTGTAGCGGAGCTGCAGCAGCAGTTTGCTGAGGTGTACAGACAACTCGTGGAGGCCCTTGACCTGCAGCTGCAGCAGCACGTGAAGATCTTGCCCCAACAAATAATTGTTTCTGTTCTCATTTGCAGCAGCAGCAGCAGGAGCAGCACCGGCAGAAGCGAAGAAGCAAGCAACAGCAGCGCTGCCGTAGCAGCACCGGCAAACGCTGCACCCAACGACACTGCAGGTTTAGTGGCCTCTGAAGCAGCAGCTTCTGCTTCAGAGGCTGCTGCAGCAGCAGAAGCAGAAACAGCGGAAGGAACAGCAGGAGAAGCAGCAGCAAGGCAAGCGCAATCAGCAGCAGCAGCAGCAGCAGCAGCAGATGCTGTTTGCTTACGCTTAGGAGATGTATGGGAGGCCTTTGATTGTCTGGGGCTGCTGCGCCCTCGTCTGTATTGCCTAACGCAGAGCATCAGCAGCAGCATTTTGCAGCCACTGTTCGCTATTGCTGCTGCTGCCAGCAGCAGCAGCAACAACAGCCAGCAGTTCCTGCTTGTCTCCAATGAGCATGCTGCAGGCAGCAGCAAAGGGCCCCTCGAGGCTTCGTGGGGTTGGGAAGCAACACCAGAGGAAGGACATGCAGCACCAGCAGCAGCAGGTTCTGTAGTAGCCGCAGCAGATGCTGTTGCAGCATCAGGCGCAGGAGCGCCAGCAGTTGGTGCTGCTGCAACGCCGCAGGGTATGCTGGTGCTGGTGCAGTCGCTGCTGCAGTTCCTGCTGCAGCATGCAGCAGACGGCCACCCCGCATGTCTCCGGACTTGGGGTCCTTTGCTGCAGCAGCAGATGCAGCAGCCGCTGCTAAGACTGTTGCTGCAGCAGCCTAACAAGCAGCTTTGGCTGCAGACGCAACACGACGCTGCAGCAGCAACAACGGCAGCAGCAGTAGCCCATGCTGCACCATTTCTCGCGGCTGCAGCAGCAGCTGCTGGCATTGTACAGACGGAGCTGTTCCTCCTGCAGCGGGGCTTGCAGGAGGAGGAGCAGCAGCACCAGCTGCTGCTGCTTCTGCAGCAGCAGCAGCACAGCAGTGGGGCTACATGGAAAGCCTTACACTGGCTGGCTGAAGAAGACAGGCGGCGTCAGGTCGAGCTGCTGGCAGCAGCACGGCAGCTGCTGCAGCAAATAGCAGCAGCAGCAGCAAGTGCTGCTGCCACCGAACAAGGCACAGTATTAGCTACAGAAGACACAGTCCCTGGCGGGGTCTGTGAGCTGCTGCTTCCCCAAGATCTTCCAGCGAAGGAGCAGCAGCAGCCGCAGCAACAGCAGCAACGTTTGCTGCTGCTGCAATGCATTGCTGAGGAGGCAGATGTGTCTTTGGTGCAGCTATCTCCGCTGCGGATTACGCACCAAACTGAGCTTCTGCTGCAGCTGCTGCAGTCGTTGCTGCGGGCAGCAGCAGCTGCTGCTGGCACATGCACCTGCAGCAGCAGCAGTAGCGGCGGTGTAAGGACTGTGCCCTGTTGGTGCAGCAGCAAGCGTGGGGGCGCCCACGGTTGCTGCTGCAGCAGCAGCTGCTGCAGCAGCCGCATATCCCTCCGTGCTGAAGTTGCTTTGATTCTGTCGATAGCGGATTTATTTTTGCTGCTGAGACCCTTGGAGCCTTTGATAGAGCTCGAAGCAGCAGCACCTGCTGCAGCAGCAAGTGCTGCTCCTGCGGCAACTGCGGCTGCGCCCGCCGATGCTTCTGCTGCTGCAGTTGCTGCTGCAGCACCGCTGCGTATCAGGGCCCTCGCGCTGAGGTGGACAGACACAGAAGTTCTCTCACGATGGCTGGTGCGGTTACCGCTGCTGCTTGCTGCTGCTGCAGGCGCCGCAAGTAAGGGCTCCTACGAGCGCTGCTCGTGCGCGGGTAGCAGCAACAGCAGCAACAGGTGCTGTAGTTGTACTGGTGCTGCAGCGCGGCGCGCCTTAACGGTGTGGGGAGATTCGTTGCCACTCTTTGATGCATTTGCTGCTGCTGCTGCGCCAGTTGGGGGGGCAGCAATTCAGCAGCAGCAGCAGGAAACGCCTTTCCGGCAGCAGCTTGCAGAGATTGTTATCGCACTGAAGCGGCAGCAAGAGGAAACGTATGTTTGTTTGGTTTTGACGCTGAAGCAGGAACTGCAACAAGCAGCAAAGGAGCTCATCCGGATCCTTACAGCTGCAGCCAGCAGCAGCAGCAGCAGCAGCAATAGTAGCCTGGAAATTCATGTGGAAGCAGCTGAGGGCCTCCTCACGCAGCGCCTCCATAGTGCAGCCCTCGATCTACTGCCTCTCTTACCCTTGCAGGTACGCCGTAAACTCTAAACCCTAAACCCTAGCCCTTCAAACAAACGCCTAACCCTGATGAACCGCGTGTTACTTAGACAGCATGACAGGGTTCTTCTGGGCTGGACGTTACAGTGTCTGCAGCATCAACCCTGTGGTGCTGCTGCAGCTGCAGCAGCAGCAGCTTAGGGGCACAAGCGGCAACAGTGCTTGCTGCGTTGCTGGATGCTGCTGCTACTGTTTCTGCTGTTGTTGCTGCAGATGTACGCGGAGGTCGTAGGCCTTGCAGCGGACTGCCTTCTAGACTGCGTGTTGCGGGCTATTGTTGCTGTTGCCGTTGCTGCAGCAGCAGGTGTCAGCACCCCTGAAGCAGCAGCAGCTGCTGCTGGCAGCAGCACATCTCGAGCCGCAGCACAACGCCTGGGGCCCATTTGCTGCAGGTTGCTGCAGCGCGTCTGCGCTCAGGTCAAAGCCACACTGGTGCTGCACCTGTCACATCAGCATCTGAGGCCTGAATCAGCAGCAGCAGCAACAGCAGCAGCTGCTGCTGCTCCTGCTGGGGACGCGCTGGCTTGTCTTCTGGCACGAAATGGGGCTTTAGATACTTCAGGCGGCAGCCGAGAACACCAACAGCAGCAGCAGCAGCAAGGGAGCGCTCAGCAGAGCAATGAAAATGCTACTACTTCTTCTGCAGGTGCTGCTGCTACTGCTCGCATCGAGGAATTTGCGCCTCTGCTGCAGGTTGCTACTGCTGTTCAGCAGCTGCTTGAGGCGGACGTGCTGCTTCTGCTCCAGCTCGCAGAAACGCATGCGCTGCTGCTGCAGCAGACCTTCGGGTCAGTAGAACAGCGGCTGGCATTGATCTCTCTTAACCCTTTCATTGGGGGAGCCCCCCCGGGGGCTCGTAAGGAAGTCTTTTGCAGCTTGGCTGCCAGCCCTTAAGGGACCCCAGCACTCCCAAAGTGGCCCCCGTGGGGGCCCCCAGGAACAGCTGAGAGACGTTGCACCGTTGGGGCCTCTTCTCGTTGTTTAAAGGGCCCCTTGTTGCTGATATATATATATATACATATATATAGGGGCCCTTGCATGTTTTTGTGTGCAGAGTTGCACTCTAAGCTCTAAACTGTAAACAGTAAAAACTAAACCGTGTATAGCGATTAAGGCTTGGGGATGAGTAGCCAGTTATATGATTCGGAATGTATGTATAGACACGGCAACCTCCTACGGCTCCACAGTCAGCAGCGAGTGGAGCAACAGCTGCTGCTGCCGCTGCTGCCGCTGTTGCTGCAGGACGAGGCTGCTCTTTGTGCTACTGGTGCTGCTTTTGCAGCTGCTGCAGAAGCAACAGCTAGATGCACCAGATGCTGCTGCATTTGCTGCCGCAGCTGCTACACCTGCTACTGCTGTAGCTGCAGTTGCTGCTGCAGCTGCTGCTGCAGCAGGCGAGGTTAGGCATTGGCTTGAGCCCTCCTTTCATCTGCGGCACGAATGAACTTGAGGATATCACCTCGGGCCCCCTTGTTCCAGCTAGAGGGGCCCCCATCCGTCTGAGCCATTAGGCGGCCATTGATAAAGCTTAGCGACACCTGCACCAAATAAATGCAAGCAGCAGCAGCGAATGCAAGCAAATTGCAGCAGCAAATGCCGGTATAGAACATACGCTAATGTATTTACTAGAAATACTTCAGATTCTGATTCCGTCTTCCAGCTTCCATTTTTGATTTCAAACGTTCAACAGACGTATGCAAATAACACAAAATACGGCTCCGATAAGGGAGATTTACGGGGTAAATACTGTCTCAGGTGTACATTAATTAATTAGTGCGCATACATTCAGAACGTATATTATATATATATGTACATTTGTATTTGAATGCGGGTGCGGTTATCGTCTACATGTTTAGTGGCCTGATCTTAAATATATGTATTGCATGGAATTATATAGATAATATGCATAATATTTGTATTATTAGTAATATATATCCTATGAATTTACAGAAAGGCCAGGAAAGGAGCATGAAGAGGCAGGAAGAAGACAGATACAGAGAAAACGCGCAGACACCATTTAATATAAATATGGGGGAGAGACCCCAACTCAGGGAGAGGGGAATTGCAATATAAGAAGCCAGAGGCACAAAAGGAGATAGAGACAGGCATATAGATACATCGCAGAAGCGAAGAAAACAGGAACAAAGAAAGAGATGAAAAGAGAGAAAAGGACAGACACAAAGGCAGGGACATTGGAAAGGTCGGAGACAACAACAAAAACAGAGATGGAGACAGACCATTTGAGATAGAGAGTCACTGACGAAGAGATAAAGAGACAGGCTAGACACAAGGAAAGGCATGTAGATATATGTAAAGGAGTAGATAAAGCCATAGATGAATGCAGACACAACCAGACAAGTGGAGAGAGCAGACAGACTAGGGCAAAGATGCCTGAGACGAGCACAGATATAATTTTAAAAACAAAAGCAAAAGATAAATCCTTATGCGCAGCATCAACGGAGGGTAAGGAAACACAGGTTAGAAGGGCCACCCACTTGGGTGTCTCCATAGAAGTAAACGCCTTCATTGACCTTCGTCCACCGCTGGAGGCCCTCATTGCTGTTGTGCACTTCAGCTAAAGCTGCATCGAGGGGCCCCCAAGCAGTACGGGGATGGTCGCCTCCGCACACGCAGCCGCGGGGGCCCCCTGAAACAGACAGATGCGCAGCAGCAGCAGCAGCAGCAAGGGAATGGCGAAGAGAAAAAGAGTTCAAGGCTCTATTAACAGAAAACGGAAGAAAGATATGTAGAACGACCGGTACGGGTCTCCTTTGAGTGCGTAAAATACAAACAGGCGCATCTATACAATATATATATATATATATATATATATATA